GCACATAATAATTATAGTTTAATGCTGTTCTATTGCTTAGGTTAACAGTCTTCTCATCATGCAACCAATAACCGTAAAAAGGAGTTTGAAATAAGTTCTAAGCAAAAATCTGTCATTCGAAGGCGAAACAGCGTTACGAATTAATGTGCTATTGAATTCGCCAAAATACTGATGAGGTTATCAATGGTGTGTGTTGCAACTGTAAGGATTCTTTTCTATTGCCTTGCAGCTCACTGTATACAGGTAGGGATAAATAATATTATTCACAAATATACTCATCGTTTAAGAACAGTAATGTTAGCAAAACGTACTATGCAGCTAAGCTTATCATAGTTGAGAAGACCAAACACCTGCTGCTACCTAGACCTCAACGCTGTATAAACGATTGTGTCACATCCCATTGCGTTTATAAATTTACATGTGTGTGTGGACAAACATACATAGGGAGGACGAATCGTGATATGCACTTGAGGGTAGGGGAACATGTTCCAAAGTGGCTACGAAAGCAGCTGGATTCACAAACATTGATAAGCGCAGATGGCAGACAACCATCATCATCCATTGCGAAACATATCATTGATAAGAGTCACAGAATTGATATCAAGACAGCCTTTACAATTTTGTACCGAAACTGTCAGGGGCGTATACTTAAGTTTGTTGAGGCGCTAGCCATAAATAAATTTAACCCCCCATTGTGTGTGCAAAAACAGTTTGTCCTTACATTAAGCCTACCTTGGTAATGCTTATTTTATCGTATTACCAAGATTGTCTTCAAGTCTTATCTTTTATTCCTCTCATTATCTTTCTTATTATTGAATTCCTTTATGTCATATGTGTCCTTCCCCCACTTCCAGTTTTCATATATAAATTGCCTTAACAAGTAAATGTGTGATCAGATTGTTCGAAATGTATAGCGCTAATACATCACATTTTTCAGATAATCTACGTCTTCTAATTACATTATCCAAATTCATAAAAGGGACTAATTGTTTCAAATTCTTGAAAAGAAGGCTCCCGCCAAACACTATCAAAAGGTTAAATGAACTTGTTAGCCTCAAGTGTAAAATAGCATCTGAAAAGGTGAAGTTGGAGTTCTACAAATCTTGTATTTCAAGTCACACTTTCCCCAGACATTTTTATAAAACCTTACGTTTCACAAAATTGCAACCAAATATCTCAAACCTCGTTCGACTCGCTAGATCTCATATTGATAGTTGCAGTGAGAAGTTAAATGGATTAGTCGAACTTCATGTTCATTCTTCATGTGTACTATCTGATATTTCATTAATTTGTCATATCAAGTTCGTCAATTTTTGTAGTTCTGTCATCATTAAATCGAAGGAGAAGACAAAACAGAAGCTGTCAAAATCTTGTACTAATGAGTCTCATGTTATCTCATTCCCAATTAATCCAGATAAATATGTGACTAATGTATCGTCTATTCAACTTTCGACGTGTGAGAAGGAGGCGCTTTCCCTTGGATTCAGTTTTTCGGTTCCCCACACGAAAGTTTCGGATTTGGCTATTGATGCCCAATTTGAAAGTCTTTATGATCAGTTATTTCCCCTTGTTCCAACCTCCTCAGATAATCAGAGTTGGTTTAAGGCTAAGCTGGTGGATATTGCCCATCAGTTCCATAGTTCAGGCCCAAGACAGCGAAGTATCCTAACTTCACAACATTTCAAAGCCCTAAAAGGACTTCGAAATAGATCTGATATTATCATTCTCAAACCCGATAAAGGGTCCGGTGTGGTTGTGATGGACAAATGTGATTACAAAAACAAGATGATGTCCATCCTTAGCGATGAAAGTAAATTTATGGCTGATGTTCCATCAGACGACCTTAGAAAATTAGAATGCAAAGTAACATCTAGTCTAGTAAAACTCCTGAATATCAATGTTATCAACAAGGAAGAATTTGCTTCCCTCAAACCGATGGGGTCTGAGCTACCTAATCTGTATGGATTGCCTAAAATTCATAAAACAGATAATCCTTTACGTCCTATACTCTCCATGTTCCGTTCACCTACACATAAAGTGGCGAAATGGTTAGCAAAAACTCTAATTCCTATTCGAAATGATTTATGTAAGTTTTCTTTAAAAGATACTTTTGAACTTGTTAATTATGTCAGTGATATTAATATCAAAGATAAGAGATTGTATTCATTTGATGTCAACTCCTTATTTACTAATGTACCCCTAATTAAAACCATTGACATTCTTTGTGACCATATATCTTCCAGTAATCCTTCTTTCCCTATCCCCTCAACGTGTTTGAGAGAGCTGTTATTATTGTGTACCGATAAAGTTCATTTCACATTTGAAGGTGAACATTTTCGACAAATAGATGGTGTGGCTATGGGAAGTCCTTTAGGACCATTGCTAGCTGATATTTACATGTCACACATTGAGAGCTTGACCGGCGATCTCATCAATAAAGTTACTCTCTATAAAAGATATGTCGATGATATAATCGTCATATGTGATAAGCATGAAGATGCAACATGTTTGTTAGAAAGACTTAACAACGTACAAAACAACATAAGCCTGACAAGTGAAGAAGAAAAAGAAAACCGTCTGCCATTCTTGGATATACTCCTAAGTCGTAGAAATGATGGTTCAATAAAACGGTCGATCTACAGGAAACCTACTTGGACAGGTCAGTATTTAAGTTTCCATAGCTTTTGTCCAACCCAATACAAGCGAGGTTTGGTAATTTGTCTATTTAAAAGGATCGAACGTATTTGTACGGAGGACTCAATGGATGATGATATCAAAATACTAACGGAAACATTAGTGGAAAATGGATATCCATTGAAGTTCATAAACCGCTGCAAAAATCAGCGAGGATTCAAACCTGATCTGTGCTCTGTTTCGAAGAAATGCGTTTACATCGCGTTACCATACAGAGGAGAAGCTAATAGCATAATATTAAAACGAAGGTTAAGGTCTGCTGTTAGCAAAACGTACTATGCAGCTAAGCTTATCATAGTTGAGAAGACCAAACACCTGCTGCTACCTAGACCTCAACGCTGTATAAACGATTGTGTCACATCCCATTGCGTTTATAAATTTACATGTGTGTGTGGACAAACATACATAGGGAGGACGAATCGTGATATGCACTTGAGGGTAGGGGAACATGTTCCAAAGTGGCTACGAAAGCAGCTGGATTCACAAACATTGATAAGCGCAGATGGCAGACAACCATCATCATCCATTGCGAAACATATCATTGATAAGAGTCACAGAATTGATATCAAGACAGCCTTTACAATTTTGTACCGAAACTGTCAGGGGCGTATACTTAAGTTTGTTGAGGCGCTAGCCATAAATAAATTTAACCCCCCATTGTGTGTGCAAAAACAGTTTGTCCTTACATTAAGCCTACCTTGGTAATGCTTATTTTATCGTATTACCAAGATTGTCTTCAAGTCTTATCTTTTATTCCTCTCATTATCTTTCTTATTATTGAATTCCTTTATGTCATATGTGTCCTTCCCCCACTTCCAGTTTTCATATATAAATTGCCTTAACAAGTAAATGTGTGATCAGATTGTTCGAAATGTATAGCGCTAATACATCACATTTTTCAGATAATCTACGTCTTCTAATTACATTATCCAAATTCATAAAAGGGACTAATTGTTTCAAAGTAATTCTTCACATACTTCTCGGTGAGGCTGTGACTGATTAGCCTAGGTGCTTGACTTTCAAATGACGTACCACAGGTTCGAACCCAGTTTCACGTTATTAAGGTTTGAGCAACTAAGCAGCAGCATTAACTCATGCACAATGGGCTTGGCTCATTGCTTACTGCACGGACGCGCATAAGGCGGCTAAGTGCATTTCGATATACTATTCACACTTCCAACAACCTTCATTCATTTCCAGGATGCATCAAGTGTAAGAATTTCATGCTCATACTTCACCTCGCTCCTAACTATTCCGACCTGTCTTCCTTACCAATGATTCAGACTTTTTTACTTGCAACCAAATGACCAAGCAAACCAAAATTTAATCCGTCATTTATCAAGAATTACACTTACAGTGTACAATTCATCGGCAGTATTTACTAATTAATACATTCCGCCTATCAATTACTTTTCTTTGTTGGAGGTATTTTACAAGTTAACTGTGACTGTTGCATCAACTTGATATCTTCGACTTTTAGTAGGTAAATTTCCTTTCTTGTTTGTTGTTGAATGACGGTAGAATACAATACATAAAATTTATTTTATTTTAAAGTTAACCTATTAACACGACTACTCTCTACTTTTGAATTTACTAGTATCAGTGCTAATATTAGCTGGTAAGTGGACAGGTCAACATGGGGGGGGGGGGGGGTAAAAATAGTAAGAGTGGCATGAAACCCATCGACGTCGCAGATATGCCTTGATGACGAGTGCCAACAAGTATGAAATCTAGGTTAACGGCTTCTTGCTGATCGCCTCCAACCAATTGCCATCCCATCAAAGTGCATTGTAGTGGTGAGCCTCCCTAGCATGATGGCCACATATCAAGATAAACCATAAAATTCGGTCAGCACTCAGGACTAGACAACACGAAATTAGTTGTTCCCCAATGATCAATCAGTGTATTTAATGCCGTCCTACAGGAGGTCAATCGCGGCCTGAATAGCTCAGTGGTAACGTTACTGACTGCAACATTGAGTGACGCGGGTTGGAATCTCATGGGGGACATCAGTTTCCTTGAGGTTGCAGATACGCCTTGCTAACGAATGACAACAAGCACGAAACCCATGCCAACCAGGGACCCCTGCCTCCAACCAACAATTAATAAACTGACATCAATTGGAGAACCGTTGAAAACCTGACAGCACTGGGTACCTGTTTATTCCTAGCATGAGACTCCTCAGCAGTAAGCACCCACGACACCACCCAACCAGGAATTGAACTCATGACCTTCAGGTTTCACGGCGAACGCGTTAACTATCCAACCACTGGGTCAGAGTTCAATGGTTCACCGTTTCCAACTTTTGTCAATTCGCGATACAGAGCGACTATCAACCAAGGTCTTCCAGTTGGCATCCGCTTCACTTCCGACTTTCACAGGTAACGGTTTCTCACTAGAACATTGGAATATCCATCTCGAACCATATCACTAATGAACAATATAGAGTAATGTATTTAATTAAAATTCTCATTCACCTCACAATAATAAACTGTCAATGTAGTACACACTGATTAATTCAGTGATGGCTAACGTAATGCCAACCTTACCTCTGTAATACTGATCTTTATAACCACAAAAATCCATAAATATACTTTGGAAATTTATACAAACATTATTTACATTATGCGTAGAAAGCATGACATTTAATCGTCAACATCAAGTGACTCAATTAGTGCATGATAAGATTTCTTGTCATCATTCTTTCCATTTCGAATTATATTACGCCAATTTGGACCAGCCGATTTATTGTGATGATTAGTATTACCAGTGAAATCTTCAATATCATGAATTCTTTGTACTAATTCAATTGATATCTGATTCCAAAGTTTTGGTAGAACAATTAGTTGCCAGTGTCTAGCCACTTCATTGTTTTGATCAAGGCAAGATCGAAGAAAAACAAGTTTATGATGTGCATTTCTAGCTCTTACTTGAATATCATCAGTTATGCTAGCTGAGTTTTTATGTATCACTTTTCTAAACTTCACCAATAGTTTGTGAGTATCTTCTAAGGCACGAGTACAATAGGCAATATTATCTAGTAAATGACTAATATCTTCAAGTAAAAGTATCATAATTGATGGATGACAAGGTAGATTTAATTCCATAAGTTTATATTGTAATACACCAAGAATATCAGCTATGGAATTATATATTTGCTTTGTAGAATTTGTGTTGCGTCGAATTATTCTTGTTTTCTTCTGATACTCTGAGGGATCAATATCACTTTTATTTGATGGTAATAGTGATGGTGTTTTAGATTTTGATTGGGCAAATGATGTAATTATACTACATAGAAGAGTTCCTGCATCATCGATCAATTGCATACAGTCACCATTGTAAAACCTGTAATATTAAAAATGAAGAATGAAAGTATTAAGCTCAGAAACAATAAGTATGAAAGCATAATCTACATAACTTTAAAAAATGTGTTCTTCGTAACAGCAAACATAGACTAGATCGCCTTGACAGAAATTAAATTCAATTTTGAGGTTTATGGGATTTATTGATTGACTTCATCATAGATTGACATCAGTTGGAGAAACATTGAAAACCTGAGAGTATTAGACAGCTGTTTCGTCCTAGTAAAGGTCTCCTCGGGAGTCCAGTGGGGGAAATAAGAACAGTTACTCAACGACAACATTTGATAAAGATCGTGAACTGAAAGAAGTGGGAAATATGAACAACTGGATCCTCACCCAGTGCTCAATGGTAATGTTGTGAATACCACCGTGAAATCAAGAAATTGGACTGTTCATTTCCTAGCACTACCTTTTTTGACCTTGAGTAAATGATAATACATAACTTAAGCATAAACGTAGGGCAGTGACTTTTACCTTACTTAATGAAATGAAGAAAGAATGAGACTTTCGAAAATTGTTCACCGAATGACTTTCGGCTAATTTTGATTAACAAACCACTTAAATTCTCGTGCACATATCAAGCACCTACATGAAACTGCATTGAGTGATTATGATTGCTTGCAATTGAAGCAAACATTAAAACGATTAGTGAATTTACTCCTATTCTTTTCATTTAGCAATAAATGATGTGCTTCAATTGCTACGTTATACGTCTGGTTAAACTGCATCTGAAACGAATTCATCTTGTCAACACTCATAGGAGTGAGAAGATTTTGCCCTTCGTTTAACTGCGAATCAACCAGTAATCGGTTGACGTTAGAGCTACACATTATTAATCGGACATAATTATTACCAACTGTATCTAAAATAGGTGATCTGTCACATGAGTACTTAATGTATTACACGATAAATAAAACGAATAAAATCAAGATATAGACATATTTAATACGAATACATGACCTCATTGGCAATCCATTACTGTGTATCACAGGACACTGCACCAGAACACATGCAACAACAGTAAAAGCAATCCTTCTGTATGGGCATCTATCTTGGATTCTTTCTGAAGCTCTCTGAAGAGATCTCTTGCCACTGGTTTTCAACCACTTACTGTCTCTCCCGTACTAGCTTCTTATTTGACGGCCTATACCGATCTGTGGTCGCTATATAAATAAAATATCTATTCATATTATGATTTGGTTGAATTTATGTCTATTCAGTTAGTCTCCTTGGATTCCAGCCTTGTTTAGCTGAGTGGTAACATTCTCGCCGCGAGACCTAAGTTCGACCGCTCATGGAGAATTATGGATATGCACTTGTGAGACATCTTACATTCGGATATAACAGCTATCCACTGCCCCAGGTTTTTTATGGTTCTCTAACTGGTATAAATCGGTGGTAAACACAACCTTGAAACTGATCAATCCCTAAAAACCATCAAGGGAATTGTCATTCGCTAGTTAACTTATAGTAAGTATGCTTTTGAAACTTTTAGATTTTCCGATTCATTACTGATCAGTGTTGTGCATCTCAACATCCTGTACCTTAACTACAGATGCCATCCAAAATCACAGCGTATAAATTAAATTAAAAATATGATCAAACATTTCGTGCTTGAGTGCTGACAGAGTTGTGAGGGCGGTTGACACTTCCCGGCTGCCCACGCCATGGAAGACTATTTCTTAAGGCACATGAAAGAGATTTGTGGGACCGCAGAGCCCATTGGATATCTGGTTGAGGCTTGTCACACCCACCCTTTTGTGTATGGTTGTTTTGGGGCCGGATAGTCGAAAAGAAACGAAAAATAAACCAACATCGCCGGCCCGGTAGACTGTAGGGCATGGTGGAGTATGTTATTTTGGAGGCGACCTTTTCTAAGCCCCTCCTTCCACTGAGAAGGCAGCATCAGCACGGCACTGCTGGTCATCCAAGGGAAACTTCTTATTGCTGTCACATCCCATCCAGCTAGCAGCAGTACGACTTCGCCCTCAGACCCCTATCATAGTGTAGTAATTTACACCACAACGGCAACTGATTTTCATCTAACCACTATCCACCAGACCTTTTTAGTATGGTAGAACCTCGAAGGAACAAGTGTTCCACCAGCATAGCTCGTTGGGTCATTGTGATATGCAAGCCCGTTTACCATGTTAAGGTTACCATGTTACCAGCCATCGGTCAAGATACGCATCAATATATTGACAGTGGTAGGTTGTAGTTAGCAACAGAATTTAGAGTGCACATTACGTTCTACTTAGGACTTATTAGTTGAACGTATGTTCCTGTTGAAACTAGGACCTAACGTCCATCGCTTCAAATGTTACAGCTATCAGACTACAGATTCACTGATGAATTCGAAATAGGATGGAACACAGTTCTGGATTACGATGTCAACGCTCACTATTAATACTAAACTAAGATTAAAAGCAATACAGAGATGTAGGTATTAAGACCTCATACACCAGCAGTGATCTATCTACTTGGTCTAAACAAATCAGAGATAAGAGAGAGATGACAAGCAATAATATGCCTATCGACAGTTAATTGAATATGGTAAAGTCCAAATGACCAGCAGAATGAAGTTTTCTTTCCTGACACAAAAATATTGTGCAAGCAAAATCGAGTAAAACGTTCAGAACAATTCCTACAAGAATAACCAATTTCAGAACCATTAAATACTATGATTCATTTGGCATAAAATACATATACCTTTGTCTTTCTGTCACATAGTCTGTTGTTTTGCACTATAAACAGCAATAAACCTCAAACGCTCTTCGCTTTTCACCCTATTTATTCATTCAGTGTTACTTACAAAGTAGAATATCGTAGAATTCAGTCTACAGAGGTCTTGCAATAACACAGCAGATTGACTGATTTTCTCTTCTACACTCAGAAGACTGAGACGATTTTACAAGAATAGTAATCACTAATTAACTGCATCAATGACGACAAGGCTATTGCACTATGACACTTGAAACATTTACACTACGATAGCAGTGAAATTAAAACGGTGTTACGCAAAGTATTCAGTGGTCGAAGATTCGATGTACTAACAAGACTGTCGTTAAGCGTGGGGTGATTTTGCAACCAGTTACTCTATTCTGTTGCTTTTCGAACTAAGAGAACCATTTTTATAAACTATGATCAAGATGTGATCGTGTATTATGGCAAATATTGGGCGCTGAGTAAAAGGTTGACATTATTTGATTTCAAACCCGCTGTGACTTACACACATACAATCTATATCTAAGAGAACCATATTTAAGAATGGCAATTAAGCGTAAGAATGGGTGATGAGATGTTTAACTTGGAAAACATTGTTTGCTTTCACCACATGTATTTAAAATCAAAAATATCACGGAGTCTAGATTACGATGGCGAAATGAAACTGAGGGAGTTGGAGACATTTACAGAAACTATACAATTACTTCGTGTTATTTCATTATAGCAGAAGAAAATTTATTCTAACATCTTGACTAGATGGGAATTTATCTAGCACACTGGGAGACGATAACTGTAATTGATAGAAAACCTAGAGTATAGCACAATTTAAACCATCATTTTGTGAATTAAATGTTGACAGTTTACCTTTACCGTCAACTTTAATGGAAGACGCTGAAACATAAAGATCACTACCAGCCCAATAATGGGATTTTAGTCTATGCACTATGGAGGTAATAATAATACGATTAACTCGACCCAGGATATATGTAGTAGGCTGTAGACCACACTGTTTACGTGAGGGCTTATGATAGTACCCGGCTGCCAAGGTTGCGGTAAATGGAGTAGTTTCAGAACTCGAGACCCATCACAGGGAAGTCGAGTTCCTAAACTAATGAGTCATACACCAGCCAAAAATATATATCTAGCCTTCGTCTACAACAGAATTAGGAAGACAAATAAACTTATTAATTGAAAGTTATTTAATATTTATCTCACCTCATGATAAATGTATATCCTAATAAGACATCTGCCAAAACGAATCCAACTGAATGATGAGGTGATATTCCAGATGGTAAGAGTTGGTTTAGCGATTTGAAGGCTGGCAGATCACGTGATTCATTAACTTGACTATTTTGTTGATTAATCTCCACTATTACTGATTTCTTTTCTAACCACCAAGGAGTCCACGTTGGTATGAAATGGATTATGTTATTTGACGTGATGAATCGGTTAAAATCTCGTTTTTCTTTTAGCGTTAATCGAGACCAGATTTCATCAGCGCTTATATCTTCATTATCTAGATTTAAATCTTTAAAACTGAAATAAAATGAAGATTTTCAGTTTTATTACACAGCATCAATAATTTTAATCATCACAACCAGAAACTGACATAATCCTGACAAAACGGAATACTATATTTCAACTGAATATAACCTGCGAATGTATATACGCATTATAGTTCAACTAGTTCAAATATTGGAAATCCTATCAATATCGAAATAGTATGAAGTTCTATGCACCCAATAAAACAATGCCATTTAAGTAAGGTGTATTTGTTTCACTTATTCATGGATAAACTAATTTCCAGTTTTTTGTTGTATTCACCAGGAGTAATAGAAGTAGTCAGAAATTTGAATAAACAATAATAAAAGTAACAGTTACTATTGATTGTGCAAAAAAATACCTGAAGAATAATATGTGTAGAGTTACTTTAAGGAAATCTCTTCATAATAACTGATTGAATACTAACCGAGTAACAGTATGACGTCAATGAAGAGTTCTCTTTTGACACTTGCTAATTTTATCATAAGTAGAGAAAGATTGCAAGTATTTTTGTAAGTGTGAATTAAAACAATTAACAATCACAACCCATTACATAGACTGCATTGACTTAGAGATAATGGATACTTTAATCTGACATTTTAGTTTGCAAAAGTTTAATCCCTAAATACTTGAACTTAGTCGGCTATATTTTACGAGCCATAATGATAGATACTGAATTTCTATAACCATTAAGTGTAAATAGTTAAGAAATATACATATGTGAATCGTGTTGCTTGAGATCTGCTATGGTTCAGGGTGCGAATAGTGACATCTGAGTACCTATCATAGACTTAAACAATGTAACCAACATTCATGGGTCTTCATATACCGAATATTCATTCTACAGAACAGAAATGAACTAACAACGACAACAACCCTTAAAATAATTGAAAAGCAGTTACATTAGTATGAGAAAGTTTCTGGGAATTCTTACCGAACCTGTAAATCATCACCAGAGTCTTCGTTTTCGTCACTAATCTCCTCATGGTTTTCTTGGGAATTCAGGTCCATGATGTGAGAGTCTTCAGATAATGCATTTGATTCTCGCTTCAGTATTTCTTTCATACGTGACTTTTCTGACTGACTGGAAACAGTACAGCGTAGAGATTCAATACAACAGTCCCGATAAAATGATTCCGAACAGTTTTTGTGCTTTTCATTACGATAACAGTTTAACGAACAGTAGTTGATTCCACAACGAGGGCAAACATACATAGACTTATGCGTGCACAAACCACAGATCATAGGTCGGGTAATATCGTTAGTCAAAGAGTCAGTCATTTTCTCAAAACATTAAGACAGGAAAGAGTCCGTTTCTAAAAATCAAAGACAATCCAAAATGTTAATGTTGTTTTACTGGTAAACACTAATATTTTGATTCAGAAAGAGAGTAGAAACTAAGAGTCACTTGTACAATTAAAAATTTAGTACACCCCTAAGTAAAACATTATAATAGACAAACCTCAGGTCCAATGAAATGGAATGTCGGTCGACTAATGCCCATAGATGGTAATAATTCCATAGACACAAAGCCGCTGGTTGAAATATCACCAACCAACAGAAAAAAAGATACATAGTCTGTTTCCAATTCAGTAATTCTGGATTGATAATGTTTTGCTACTTAGTTATTCCTATTATTTATTTCGGTAATTCGCTGCAATGTGTCATTAGTAAATCACAGACCAACAAACAGGTAAAATAACGAAGAACCTGACACAGTTCGTCTGTTGAAGTCTCCACATTTAACAGCGGAATGCAAACAATTACACAAAAGGGTAATAGGAAAAGGTAGGATACAGAAATGAAGGTCAGTAAGAATGCTAAGTCTCTGAAAATAACAGAAAAAACACATTCATACCATTACAACTGATCTTGAACCATGCCACCAAGAATTTCCGGTCACTGGGTTTGGTAATTTTGAAGACCCAAGTCAAGCAACCCACATCTGCACATATGGTCCAAACTGAAAGTCAGAAACTTCATGCATTAGAGTTACATCCTCTTCTAGTCATCTTAAGCTTCTTTAAAGCATGTAGCTCATTACTTTAGGCACTTCATTTCTAACTGGCGTGAACCCAATTAGAACCCCACCCCACCCACTTTGACTTGGGTGGCTAGGTGATATAATAAACATTCACACAGAGTGTGATTTAAGCCAAGTACATAAGCATGTGCCGAGTTGAGTCCCAATAACCAAATACACTAAATCTTCAAACTAGTCCAGTTCCAACTAACATCGTGCGTCAAACTGGTTGGTGACTGAAAATACTTAGTACATTCCCAATGCTTACCTACCTGCTAGTTGAAAAAGCCGTTACCAATCATCGACAGATGAAGAAAAGCGATGAAAATTTATTTTGTAGATGGAAACACTTCAGTATTTCTAAATCTTAAGGTGGCCTAAAGCCATTTCTCATCTCAATAGGGAGACAACGATGGACTGTTTCACAAACGCATATCTAGCAACCAAATGGTATGAAAATCGTTCAGTAAAATGAACATAGAAGGATTTTTAGCATTGTTTAATTTTTTCGGTGAAGTTAAGGAATAGCAACCACAGTCAGTGGGTGCAAAAATGACAAGCAATTTTAAGTTTACAAAGTGCATACAATAATTTAAAAAAGAATGACGGGACATGAAAACACTTTGCAGAAACTTGTTTCAGTTTCTCACTCGTGTTTATGGATGAACTAGGCCAACTTCCATACATAAACTCGTTACAATTGATGTCGATTATTTCATCCTGAGAGCTTACACTTGAAGTAATTGGCTTAGAACAGACTTAGATTTACGAATAATCACCACGAAAAAGTCCTCTTTCATGAGAAACAGTATGCTGTATTACATACTTAGCAATAGCTTCTCTGTGTTTGTGTAGTTATTTTCCTCCCTCATCAACAGTCTTTACCTCGCTATACGCCCGTGGTGCACACAGTACTGTAAAACAGATCCAACAAGTGGTTATCAGCTCATGAACTGTAAACCAACCAGTACTAATAGTTTGTTTCGTAGGCTAGTGATTTTGTTGGTTGACTACGGTCGTCTAAGCGATCTTTAATTGTGATGCCATACTTCAGTTTCATCTGCCTTCCGTCGATACCCCGAGTTTAAAAGCCGAACATGTTTTCGAACGAAGTCAAGTGTTGAAGTTAATCTTTGAGTCCACCAAAAAAATTAGCTAAACTTAAACTATGGAATCTCACTTGCATAACTAAAGTGCTAATTGCATTACAGATGTTTCAGTTACAAGGATAGTAAGCCAGTTGGCCTGTGTAAATCCTTGCAGAAGATATCTCTGCGATTATCTAGTTTCTCCTTGAACGCGTTGACAGAAGATGCTGATACTACTTGCAGAGGTAAGGAGTTCCAATCGTTGATTACACGATGGGAAAAACACAGATTCAAGCTAAATTGATTCGATCACGGTTTTTGAATTTTCTTGTGATGTCCTCGGAGATAGTCAGTCCTAGCAGAAGAGAAAAGATAGGATATACCAGCACCGAAGTCATTATTAGGAATACGAAATGCCAGTAAGAGATCACCCCGTTTCTTAAGGTAAGATAATGGGAATAAGTTTAGCTGACCTAGTCGTTCCTCATAGGACAGATTCGAAAGGTCTGCCACAAGCTTAATACCCATCCTTTGAACACGCTCGAGTACGTCAGCATCCTTTTTTAGGTATGGGCTGGGCGCCTGAACGCAGTATTCTGAGTGAGGCCTAACGTAAGTAGAATAGAATATTCTGAACATGTCCTGATCAGAACTTTTGAAAGCTCTGCGGATGGACCATAATACGCGGAAGCCCTTTGCTGCACCTGCATTACAGTTTGCCGAGGTTTTCAAATCATGACTAATGATGACACCCAAGTCTTTCAGTTCAAAGACTGGGAGTAGTGGTGTACCACCAACGCAATACTGGGAACAATTGCTATGACCAATGTCCGTTATTGCACTTTTGTTAGAGTTGATTTCCAGGCACCAACGTTTGGACCAACCTACTAGTTCATCTAAATTCGCCTGAAGTGCATATTTATCTGCATCACTGCGGATGGATCTCTAAATCTTGACATCGTCGACGGATAGCAGTACCGAAGAGTTGAGCATTTTTGGTAATTCGTTAATATATAACAAGAAAAGTAGTGAACCTAGGATTGCTTATTGAGGAACTCCATTCACCACAGGTTTCCAACCGGACAGTATCCCATTTACCCTCACTCTCTGCCCTCTATCGTACAAAAAGTCCCTAATCCAGGCTTGCAATGGAGCACCAAACCAGGAGGAGAGCCTTCCTAGTAATTTCATATGCGACAATTTGTCGAATGCCTTACTGAAGTCTATAAACATGGCATCTATTGGCAGCTTGAAATCACGGAATGCAACACATTCCTCTCTTGCGACAAGGAGGTTAGTTAAACAAGGGTGTTCAGTACGAAAACCGTGTTGCTGTGGTGCCAAAAGATTGGTTGATTCAACATGTTTCAGTAACTTGTCACGAATTATTTTTTCTAAAATCTTAATAACTATGCTCGTTAGATTCACAGGGCGATAGACACCAACTGGCGACTACCCGCCTTACAAACTGGACTGATTATGGCATCTTTCCAGTCTCTAGGGAGGTGAGTCTGAGTAAGAGACATATTGAAAAAGTCCGTGACTGGTTTAACGGTAATCTCTGCTAGCGAAGATAGCAGTCTAGGATGTAACTCATCGAGACCAGAGGATTTTCCAGGTGTAAGATTAATGAGCAACTATAAGACTCTTTCCTTTGTTTCTGCAGCCCAGAAAGCATTTACTTCGGGCGCCAAAGCTTTTACTTCCAGTTGAAGTGGGGAGACACACGATATTCTTCGAAACTGTCAAAAGTTCCAAAGACCCAAAATATCACGATTGACATTCTCTTATCAGACGTAACTAACTTTAATAACTCAGTTTCTAACACTTCACCTCGCTTTCAACTACTAGAGAGTTGTCAATGTGTGTAACTTCCTGCCCATTTCAAAACAACGTTATCACGTGATGATTATATATTACCACCACTGAATATATTCAGTCCTCTCAGCAATGATAACAGAAGAAACAGTTCAAGAAAGCCAAAGCGTATTAAGTACTTGGTTTACGTCTGAATATTGTTTCATGATCGGTGGCTATTTTCGAAATATGTCTACAAATAACCTACCATCCACTAGTCTGTAGCGACCCTTATGAGTTGCAGACACACAGACTCATAGCAAACACAGGCAGGTCGAATGAGGAAAAGCAATTACTTAGTACCATCTTTATTTGGGTCACAGCTAAACTCATCGCGTACAAAACGACTCTCAGTCCAGACAGAGTTTTATATGTCTTCGTCAATGTCAAGTCTACGCATTCGCTGTTCCGCTTCTCCTAACCCTTTCGCTGTGTTGTACTCTGAAAGGGAAGGGAAACAAACATGATTAGTGTTATCAATAAGGTTTCGAATATGTTACAGACGATACTATGTAGTTCCTGTTCTTCATCGACCTGCCTGTGTTTGCTATGTGTGTGTCTACAACTCATAAGGGTCGCTACATAATTGGTGTCGGAAGAAAAAAATACGCAGGTTGAAGACAATGAAGCCAACCACTGACGGTGAACCTCCCGCCCTCATAACCAAACCCTGCAACTCTCCTCGGGAACCGCATGCCACCTTATGCAAGTCTCCCATCTTCGAAATATCCCCCAAACTACCAGATGCGGAAGCCGCGTATGCAATCATTCCTCAATTATTTCCCTCCAGCCGCCCACTATGACCACATCTTAGCGTCGCTCAGTGAGGAAGCAGCTCGAAGGACATTGGCTGCCGGGTTCTTCGCCGCCAACTCCCCATCCATCAATAGGGAAACTTTTTGGATGAATGTTTCGGTCCCCAGTTGAGGCCGCAACAATACACGGTGAAATTGATCTCACGGAGACAACTGCCGGCGCAGTCACCTATAGACTACTGGTACACACTGCAGTGCCTCGCCGTCCACGCACTACTAGATATGGATACAGCAGCACGTGAAACATTAGTCTGCTCTCGTTTTGTGAAAGGACTCTTACCGGGCGAACTACGAAACCACTTCCTCCGCCTACCACCGAATTCGGACCCGGGAAATCAAAACCACATGCCTACGCTTCATGGACTTTGAATCCTAAACTTAAGCAGCACCGAGCGTGAACATGATTAGTGTTATCAATAAGGTTTAGAATACGTTATAGTCCTCAGGGTCCAATATCCAATATTGATAGTGCGAGCGTAGAAAACTGATAGGTTCTGATCTCTCGCGTCTAGTCCTTAGGGCTTGGTTCGAGT